ATTTCAATGAAATTCGGTTTATAATATTTTCTTAACACCCTGATGACATGTACCAAATATGGGTGAAATCGGTTCACAACCACACCTGAAATCTCGATTATGACTTTATCATGCGAGAGTATAAAATGTTCGGTGACACCCGAACTTAGCCCTTCCTTACTTGTTCTTCATTAATTTTAATTTCAGATTTCGCAAAATTTATTATATAATTATTTTGGAGTATAAAATTTCTGTCATCACAATTTTGTATAAGTCTCAAATTATTTGCATTCTTGATGATTAAAGTATCATCCCTTATTTCTTGTATTATTGTAGTATTATTATATTTAAATTCACAAGTGTTAAAGAAAATACAATTCTTACTTAATTTCAGTTTTTTTATTAACGTATTATCTTCATATTTATAATGTTTTTTATTTATTGTTACAGTTTTGCATCCTCTTGAGCTATTTGGAATTTTCGTTTGTTTGATAGAGGCATAATTAATTTTACATATACTTTAAAAAAACTTTTTGGCATTTGAATAGCGAACACAATTGCCCCACTTTTGAAAGCTACTAATCCTACTTTGGCTAGTTTCAGCTTACAAAAGTCTATGTTAAAGCTATCTATTTCCTCTTTAGTTAACATCCCCGGGTGTATTAAATTGTTTTTGTTGCGGCGGCTACATTATTTCGGATTTCATGTATCTTCTCTTCTATATGTCTTAATTTATTCACTTGATCATTTTAAAGAACCAGTTTCACTAGCTCTCTATCCTCCTTTTGTATCTGATTTAATTCTTTTAATATTTTACTCCTGTAATTTTTTTTACAATTGTTTTCATTAAATTAATTGAATCGTTAAAATGCTCATTTATGATAATCTGCTTATTGATATTTGTTATTGGATTGTGCGAATTTCCCTCTAATACTTCTAAATGACTAATTATATTCTGTCGGTCCTCCTCGTCCATTAAACCGAAAAACCATGTATACATTGTGCCTCCTAAATTAATTAAACCTCTCTTCTTTCTTCCCTCTTCCTTGGGAGTAATCGATCTAATTTTTGCTTTAATTACTTTAGTTTCGTTAAAAAGAAGTGCCTTGTTACTTAGGTCTGCTTGTCTTATGTTTTCTTCCATTTCCTCCACTAAACTTGCTAGCTCTTTCGGGTGTATAATATGTAGGATAGTATTGACTTCGTCAACGATTTCTGCTTCGTCGAGTTTCTATTACTTTTTTAATATTTGTTAATGCGATATCATTAAATGTAAATTTTGGTGTGTAGCTCTGGTTTAATCTTTCGACAGGATACACAATGGCATGAATATATTCTGTTTTATTATTTTTATATTCTTGTTGCAAAATTTCTAATT